GGGTGAGGCCGCATACCGGTTGGCGTTGCCACCCGAGCTTTCGGGTGTGCACAACGTCTTCCACGTTTCGATGCTGAAGGATTACGTGTATGACCTAGCGCACGTGTTGAGTTACAGTGAGCTTGACGTCGGGCAGGACCTGACGTACGAGGTGCAGCCGATTGCTATTCTGGACCGAAAGGTTCAGCAGCTGAGGAGCAGATATGTACGAGGTAACATCTATTTATATAGTAGCTGATATTAATCCTACGGCTCTGCATGCATGTGATCATGCTTCTTCAAATCTTCTTCATCCATTCTCTTGTTGGCCGGTCTCACTCTTGCATGTGTTCTTGTGCTGATGTGGCTTCAACTCATTTGTGCATGCATGGACGACTGCTTGTGTGCTATCATCCCCCCTCAAGCCAAAGGAGGTGACAGGTCGAAGTTGAAGCAGATTTCTGAACCGAGAGAAGGCTTGCTGAGAGAGAGGTTAGGTGAATATATCACCTACCTGATCTGCTGAGGGAACATGAAGAACTCTAAGCATGCCCTTAGCTACAAGATTGCCAACAAAGTGCAGATCAATTTCTATGTGTTTTGTACGAGCATGAAGGACTGGATTGGATGATAAGGAGATTGTGCTGAGGTTGTCCACCCACACAGTTGGTGTTTGAGAGCAAGATACATTGAGCTCCTTCAGTAGGGATATAATCCATGTGATTTCTGCTGAGGCCTGAGCTAGGCTGCGGTATTCTGCCTCTGTACTCGACCGTGATATGGAGGTTTGTTTCTTACAAAACTAAGAGAATGGATTTTTACCAAGATAGATGCATATACCTGATGTGGACCTCCTATCATCAAGGTCATTAGCCTAGTCAGAGTCTGAAAAGCCAGTTATATGCATGCTTGTTGGTCGTGTTGTCGTAGGCACCCAAATTAACCTTGCTTAAAAATATGTAGTAGCGTGAGCAAGGATCGTATCCACGGGGAGAAGTAAAACAAATCTATCAACTATATGATCAAAGAGGGGGGAATTTGAATTGGTGACTTAACTAAACTAGAAATTACCTATCAAACACTAAATAAAAATAATAATAAAATAAAAATAAATAAACAAAAATAAATATAATATGAATCTGCCTTGGTTGAATTGATTTCCACCTTAGACTGTCCCACTGATCATTGATGCAAAAATATAAATTCACAATCCACGCAACTGTCGTTGAATGGAAATTCTATCTCCTAAATTAGTCACGCAAAATAAATCCTTCTACGAGACTCTTATAACTAGTTAACTCCCAACATCGTGAAGAATTATTCTAGTAAAAGCATTAAATACAAGAGACCGACAATCCAAGCAATAAATAACTAATCCGTTAAATA